GACATTACATGCATGTTTTATGTCTGATTTTTATACTTCTTTAACATGATGTTCACTTAAAATATGATGAAGACTAGGCCAAGTCAAGTTTTTTCTTTAATTTAGCCAAAGTATATACACATGTAACTTATAGGTTTGATTAGTCAAGCCCGCACAAAAGAATCTGTATATATTGATAGGAAAGAGACATACTTTATAAATATTGAGGTTGTAAGGGAATGAGATAATATTGATGTTTTTTTTGCATACGTACTAGTTGGGTAAGTCTTCAAATAATGTCTACTGACACCATTACCCAAGCCTCTCTCATAACCGCTGTGATGCCCTCCATGTACCTCATCTAAAACTTTGGTCATCGCGGCAAACTTGGGTTCTTGGTCGACACCTAATGATTTTGCCTTTTCTATAACCTGGTCCTATATCACGTAAAGTATTCAAATGTTACTCAACAACATTATTATAAATATACTTATGAAAATCGTTTAAATTCGTCGAAAAATGAACACTTACGCAATACTCTTGAGTTTGGGTGTCAGGGTATATACATGAGTATGTGTCACCATTTGGATCCACTAATGTCGCGTGGGTATCAAAATACTCCTTCAAGGCACTTGAGGAGCCACCTGATTCTTCGATTTGGGCTCTCTGTAACTCAACAAAAAAAATATGTATAACATATCTTATTATAAATAAAGAAATGTATTTTTTTTAAACTCAAAGAATACTTTATACCACTTTCTGTTTTGCTCGAACTATGCTCCTCGACCCACCTGTATAGGTTGCTCGACCTCGCTTCTTAGATTCTCGATTCACCTTATTTCGTTTTTCCTCCGCCTACACATAAAAGTAAGAATTAGATTTCAATCTGATACTAGGTATATACTAGACATCATATTTATTGTTAAATATAAACCTGTTTGCTCTTAGAAGAATAAAACGAGCATAGGTTACCCCACCAATTTTCATCAATCCCTTCAAACACCTTTTCCTGGAAGAGAGCACGTCTCTTCTCTTCTGGGACCCCACCAATTTTCATCAATCCCTTCAAACACCTTTTCCTGGAAGAGAGCACGTCTCTTCTCTTCTGGGGTCTTCAACCATAGTTCATAGCACTCCATCTTCACCTGATTCCGATTGCCTCGGACCCTCTCTTGCATCTTTGTCTTTATGCCTCGGTAGATAACAAGAAGTTTGAGTGGACAATAAGGATCTTGGGGCAAAAACTCATAATCTTTCTGCATATTCAACAAAATTAATGTTTTAGAGTAGATAGGTACCAAATGATACTAAATTATCTTGTTTTTACAAATTAAAATGTCTCTAAACCTGAGCTTGGAGGAAGAAGTTTTCACATGAACGCTCATGATGCGCACACCAGTTCAGATGAAGTGGAAAGTCCGTAAATTGACGGCTTTCCTGCCTAATATACTGCCCAAATCGCTCAGCATTGGACCCAATTATGCAAAACTCCTCATCAAAATGCAAAGGAAATGCTGGTTCATCAGTCTCGAAACTCGACGCCAATCGATGGGCTTTATTCTTCCCCCGAGTCTTCTTACATACCCGTGGTAGCCCTGCATCTAAAAATATGAAACAAGAAAGGATACTAGAAAATAATTAGTATATTAACAATAATAAAAACAAATGATATAGATACCTTCAGCTCTTGTAGCATGCTTCTCTGCACGTTTACCAGCACGATTAGGACGATAGTTTCTCAAATGTAAAGGACGAACTGCTGATATGGATGCATAGGCATCCTCTCCAACTATATAACAAAATGTAATAATATAAGTACCATCTGGATAAAATAATACAAAATACATTTGACATTAATGCATTAACAAAAAACATTTGACATTAATACATTAAATAATACTTACACATCGAGTGTACAGATGTTATGGAGTGTGTAGAGGCTGGCGAATCATGCTCCTCAGGCTGAGGTGCTATATTTTGAAAGAAAACAATATAATATCAAAAACATATTATGCAAACAAAACAAGAATAAAAATAAAAGTCTACTAACCTGCACGGGAAGATGCAAAATCTACCCAATAAGAAGACTTTGGGGTAATGTGATCCATCTCTCTATCGTCACTGCAAAAGGATGTAGAGGGAGGAACACTAGGGATAGATATGGAAGGACGAGCGCCTTCTAGTTCCCTCTGACGCTCCCTCGCTTGATGCAAGAGCATCCTAGGCGCCATCCGTCTAGTTTTGGACTTTGATTGTCCTCGACTAGACATTATTGTCAACCCCTAAACAAGAGTAAATATATATATGAGATGCATGCAATACATGTGTAAATTCAAGATGATTTTTAATGATTATTACCTTTTTTCTTTTTACATGTGTGTAAATATATATATGAAAATATTAACATATGGATATTTTTAATGATTATTACATTTTTCTTTTAACAGGCTCCTTAGACGTTGTAGGAATATCTACAATGATTTCGTCATAGAAATCATTCCTAACCCATGAAACTTCATGCTCACACTCAACTCGAGATACATTTTGATCTATGGAAATAGTAAGTTGTAGCAATCAAAGTCCTTCATCATCAGAATCTATCTCAATGTTATCCTCTATGTCAACATTCGCGAATTGTGGTACATCATAGGTATCTCTCGGCTTCCATCGACAAACAACACTCCATCCTGAATGCTTCAAGCATTTGAGTAATATACTTGAAATGCTTGTTCCGGGAATATATATGGTTCGTCTTCAAACTAAAAAAGATTAGTGTTTACACTAGTCAATCCATATCATCTTCCCAAGTCCCGTATGTGTCTCTCCATTTTCCATGTCCGGTTCTTGTATGATACCAAACACACTTAAATATATATACTAGTTTGGCTCTTCCCGGATAGCAAATACCAAGTATTCTATCCAAATACCCATAGTAAATCAAACCTTCATCTCCAATGGCCACAATTCCGCTATTCTGGGTAGTCTGAGATTCTTCTATCTCCTTAATTTCAAATTTGTAGCCATTTATACCAAATCCTTTGTAGTATGCAACCTCCAGGCTTGGATGTCGAGCTAGACATCTCAAATCATCATCTAATGTTAATTCTGAGTTTGGATCTTGGACCTGAGAAAATAGTTCATCATTCTAATTCTATGAATATAAAGACAAAATTATAGATTAATACAATGACATATAAGAAATTCTTACATAATTTTTAAACCAGGCACAAAAATTTTCTTGGTGATGCTTCTCCAACCGTTCATCATTCCAATTGTGATGCTCTTCATGTAATTCATCCTTATAAATTCTATTCTCAACATGAATTGTTACATCAACATTATACTATTTCATGCATACATACACATATAATAGTAAATGCAAAATAGACTTACCCTCTAACTTCCTCAAGGCAAACGCTATTAAGGAGGATAAATTGATGTATTTGATTAATAAATGTGATTCCCATTGTCGTGTAAGTTGGTTTGCCATGTGTTCCATCACGAATACGCACAGGCCTGGTGAGCTTAGTCTCTATGTTTTTATCCAAATAACAAGAACAAAATGTCGTTACCTCCTCCAGGAGATAACCGTCCATTATAGAACCCTTTGGCCAATTTCTATTCCGAATGTAATTTTTTAGAGTGAGAAGGTATCTACAAATACTAGTATTAGATTACTACATAAAACATACAAAATAGAAAAGTTATATTTGTTGTGTAAAAGAAAAAAGCGAAACACCTTTCTATAGGATACATCCACTGATATTGTACCGGTCCAGCAAGCCTTGCTTCGGTTGCAAGATGAACAGTCAGGTGTATTATAATATCAAAGAATGTTGGTGGAAAAATCCGCTCAAGCTTGCACAATATTAAGGGAACTGCTTCTTGTAGCTTCTCCAACTCCTTGTCCTTAATGGTTTTAGCACACAATTCCCTAAAAAACATGCAAAGTTCATTAATCACTAAACAAACAGATTCAGGAAGTGAAGCCCTAAGGGATAGTGGGAGAAGGTGCTTCATAATAACATGGTGATCGTGACTCTTCAACCCATCTATCTTGCCTTTTACAGTCTTTATCTTCTTATTAAATGATCCAGAAAACCCTGTAGGAACCTTCAGCTCATGCAATACCTCCAAAAATATTTTCTTTTCTAGTTTTGACATATGATAAATGGCATTGGGGAGTACAAATTTTCCTAGTTTACCTAATTTAGGTATAGGGTGCAACTCTTTTCTAATGTTGAAGTGTTGTAGATCCCTCCGAGCTTGTAGGTTATCTTTCGATTTTCCATCTTTAAAAAGAAGCAAGTTAAATATGTGCTCAGATACCCCCTTCTCAATGTGCATGATGTCCAAATTATGATGCACTGTATTTGTCACCCAATACGGTAGTTCAAAGAAAATATTTTTCTTATTCCATCCTTGTGGCTTTTCCTGCCTTTCCTTTACTTTTCCAAAAATCACATTTTCATAATCATTCCATTGAGCAAGTATGTCCGCTCCAGATAAGGGGACTGGAGCCTTTCGGTGCTCTGTAGTACCATCAAAGTGAACATCATCATCCCTATAGAGATGGTCTTCTTTCAACATACGTTGATGACCACAATAACATATCTTTTTGCTAAAAGGCAACCATGTCGATATTGTATCCATGTGGCAATGTGGACATGCTTTATAACCATGTACAGAATATCCTGATAGCATTCCATATGCAGGAAATTTATTAATTGTCCACATTGAGGCTGCACGCATTATGAAGGTTTCCCCTTGATCTGCATCATATGTCTCCACACCATCAATGAATAAAGACCGTAACTCTTCGATGAGAAGTTGGAGATAAACGCTGATATTATTTCCCGATGAACTGGGTCCATCAATCAAAAGAGGCATTATAAAATATGATTGATCCATAACCAGCCATGGTGAGAGATTATAAATCATCATTACAACCGGCCATGTGCTGTGTGGATTACCATTAAAACTAAAGGGGCAAAAGCCATCACTAGCTAGTCTGAGCCTGATATTACGAGGATCCTGACTAAATATTAGATGTAACTTGTCAAAATTCTTCCATGCAGGTGAATCTCTTGGATGACTCATTTTTCCATCTTCACGTGGAAGAGCACGATCATGCCAGGTCATTGCCACCACTGTCTTCTTATACTTGTAAAGTCTCTGCAGCCTCTGTGTAATAGGAAAATATCGTACTACCTTGAGAGGTATGTTATTCTTGCTAATATGTGCCTTCTTCTTATATGTGCACACTCCACAAGTAGGACACTCCTTCTTATATGAGTTTTCTTTCCAATATAGTACACAATCATTGGGACATGCATGCATCTTCTCACAATTTAAACCCAGATTAGACATTATCTTTTGAGCTTCATACCAGCTATTAGGGACATTGTTCTAAAGAGGCATAGAATCTTTTAGGAATTTAGGAAGCATCGTGAATGACTTGTTGCTCCATTTGTTTAGGCACTTAATCTGGAAAAGTTGAACGAACCATGACAGTGTGGAATGTTTTGCATTCTCATAAATCGGTCTCCTAGCATCATTCATGTACTTCTCATACTCATTTAAATATTATTCTTGTCTAGGAGGACTATCTTCAACATGATTAGGGTCACCAAAAGCAACCTCTACCATTTCCTCCATCTCCTCTTCTAGAAACAAGTTAATATTGTGAACTTCTTCATCTTATTCTTCGACATTAATAGGAGTTAGAATTTCTCCGTGATATACCCAAGTTGTATAACCTCTAATAAAACCATACTTGGCAATGTGAAGTTTTACATCTTCCTCTTTACAATGCAAAGTATTCCCGCAATGGCTACACGGACAAAGAATCATGCCATGTTGGATCTTATCGTGTTCACGTACAAAGTTTATAAAAAAAAGCAACTCCTTCAATGAACTCAGGCTTTGTGCGTTTTTCATGATTCACATACATCCAGTCCTTAACTCTGATATAGTCACGAGCCATGATAACCTAACCAAGACAGAGTTAGTGATAACAACTCATAAATTAAGCACGCTTGCACTAATTTTCAAAAAATTATAAAAACTATATAGTTTGGTATAAATAAATTTTATTTACTTGTTTAAATTTAATCACAATTTTCATAAATGTCAAACATGCCTAGTACATCAAATATTTATTATGTGTATGAAACTTTCACATAATATATGCTTACTAGTTATATTTAAAGCAGTAAAAGAATATAGCAAAAATCTAACACCGACTACCAATTACCTCTTAGAAATTAAATGATAACAACTGGCCAATTAAAAATTAAAAACCTGATCTAGACATTAGCTTGAAATTAACACAGTTACGCATTGCCTTAAATTTCAGGGTGCATGATACACGGATCAGTGTATAAGGGAACAATCGTTGAAAATGTGTGTGCAATCAAGAAGATAAGCAAGGATATGTCACAGGAAGTTAACATACTGCACAAACTCAATCATGTCAATATTATAAGCCTCCATTGAATTTGTACAGGAGAAGAAAACTGCTATTTAGTCTATGAATTCATGGAGAATGGGTCTCTGAAGGATTGGCTCAAGAATCCTAACGAGTAGTAATGTTCTCCTTAACGGGAAATTGAGAGCTAAAATAACAAATTTTACACTGGCAAGATCATCAGACTGGAGAAAGTTTGGTTCCTACTTAACAAAGAATGTTGAGGGTACTCTCGGTTATATAGCACCTGAGAAACTTAGCAGATGACACTCTCTACATACTTATTCACAAAAGCTACTTTTTTGAAATATGAGGAATAAAAATCCTCATTTCCTAGAACTATTTCTCACACATCCGTAACATATCCATTTAATCCAGAATAAGCACTAGACTCATCCCTTTGCTTAGAATCACCTCTCCTATTTTTTTCCTTTCACCGGGCAACAGTCTGCCATAATTTGAAGATTCCCCACTGCGAGGGGTGATATTGAAAGATTTCATTAGTCATTTCTTTGGCTGCCTCTCAAGTTAGGATGTGTCCAAACTCAACGATAAATCCTCTTGCCTATTAGCAAGAGTGATCCGCAGAAAATGAGAGATCGTAGAACGAGCTGTGAGAATGAAATTGAGAATTAAGAGGACTTACAAGTCAAGTGTCCGACGAAGATGAGGAGGAGGAGAGGCAGCGAAGTCCGATTTAGGAGGAAGAACTAGGGTTTTTTTTGGGGATTCGGCGGAAAAGTGTAGGGTCGACGGCGGCAGGGAACTTCAGGGCTTGATGGTGGCGGCGATCTCCGACGGAGGTAGCGAACTGCGACGGTAGCAGCAAGTTCAAAAAACCCTAGTTCAGAGAAGGCGCAATGCAGGCTCGACGGTGGTGACGAAATTCAGGTCTCGACGGCAGCGACGACGAACTTGAAGTCTCGAGCCCTGAAGTTTAGGCTCGACAGGAGCGGCGACGAACTCTGATCAGAGAAGGCAACTGCAGCGGCGCACGACGAACTCAGGGGGGATCGATTTTTTGATGAGAGAGAGGGGAGGAGGGGGAGAGA